CCGCCGTAAGGCGACGGTGCCTGCGCAGGTGCATTGGGGAACGGCGACGTGATGGCCGACGTCGACTTGTGCTGCGACATGGCGCTCGGCGTGCGCTTGGGCGCCGACAGTCCCTCGGGCACGTCGTTCCAGCCCGACTGGTCGCGCTTGAGAGGCGGCGGAGGCGGCAGGCTCTGCTGCTGCTGCGGCTGTCCGTAAGACGACGCACCAAACGTGGGCGGGGCAGGGATCATGGGCTGTGCGGGCTGGTACGCGCTCTGGTAAGCTTGGCCGTAGCCTCCGTAGGTGTTCGACTGTGCAGGCTCGGACTGGATCACGTTGGGCACGGGCGCAGGAACGGCAGGCGCGTAGCGCGACTGCGTGGCGGGCTGAGCGGCGACGGGAGCCGGAGCTGCGGCTGCGTAGGGGTCCTGGTACGAGGGCACTGCGGGGACCGATGGCACCGAAGGGACGGAAGGAGCAGGCGCGCTCGTCTGGCCGTACGGGTTGTAGGGAGTGTAACCGTTCGCAGAGGGCGCAGCAGCGTATGCCGAAGTAGACGAAGTGGCAGGTGCAACACTGTCGGTGGCCTCGGCGGCAACGGCCTCCGCCTTGGGGCGAGCGCTCTCCGCCTTGAGCAGGCGCTCCTTGAGCGCAGTGGCAGTGAGCCCGGTGGCGGCGCCCTGGTCGATGGGGCCCTGTGGACGGTAGTCGGCGGGCGTCTGGCCGGCGAACCTGAGCGCAGGGGTGATGAGACCCTGGTCGGCCAGGAGCTCGACGTACTCGTGGATGCGGTCGTAGAGCGGCGCGAGCTTGTACAGCCTGGCGCCAGTCTCTGCGACGAGCGAGTCCTGCGTGGGCTGCTGCAGATCGACATCGACGTAGCCGACGGCGCTCTGGAAGACGGTGATCTTCTCCATGAACGTCTGGAGCGCCTCGGCGCGGGCGGAGTAGAGGGTGCCATCGTGCGATGCGTCGGCGCCGTCCTTGGAGTTGGTGCGGAGCGCGAGCTCCTCCTCCTTCATCTCGTCGATCCACATGCCTGCGACCTTCTCGAGCTTGCCAGCGGCGAGGTAGCAGAGCACGGCGTTCTTGCGGTGCTCCTTGGCCTGGGCAGCGTCCGAGTTGCGAGCGAGCGTGTACTGGAACTCGAGGCGCTGGCCGAGCTGTTCGGTGAGGTTGCTGAACTCGTCCTGCTTGGCAAAGGTGCAGAGCACCACAAAGATCTCCTGCCACTCGCTCAGGTCGGCGTTCTGCACAACGTCGGTGAGGTCGTCCGAGACGATGCTCTGGAAGAGGCGGAGGTAGGGGAGCTGTGCGGTGCGCTTCTCAAAGTAGGCCTTCTGCGCCTTTGCGAGGAGCTGCTCTCCGCCGCGGACGGCGAGGAGGAAGGCGTCGGCGAAGCGGTCGGAGTTGATGCAGAGGGAGACGGCGCTCTCAAAGTCTCCGAGGACAAGGGCGCGCGTAATGAGCTTGTCGGCTTCGGATTCCTCGGAGGGGTAGATCTTGAAGGTGGAGGATCGGATGTTTTCGCTTGCGACGGACGAGGGCCCGGGCGACCCAGCGGTTGCGGCGGCGGACGAGTGGAAGGGAGCCTGGGACTCGGACAGCAGGTGGTCGGGCAGAGCGGACCGGAGCGCAGGTGGCTGGCCGCTGGAGAGCTGGTTGAAGAAGTCCGAGCCGTCGTTGGCCGATGCGGTTGCGTCGTCGCCAAAGAGGCTGGGCTCGTTGGCGTTCTTGGCGTTGGCCGACGAAGCAGGCTCGGCGGCCTCGGACGCAGCAGGGGTCTCGGCAGCAACCTCGGATGCAGGCTCGGCGACAGTCTCGACGGCTGCCTCCTTTGCAGCCGAAGGCTCGTCGATGCTCTTTGCGGAGACGGCGGCGGGCTCCTCCGGGGCGGTGGTGCCGTTGGTCTTGAAAGCAGCGATGGACTGGGAGACCTTGTTGGCGACGTCTTCCTTGGAGAAGCCGAGGAGGGCGACGAGTTCGTCGCGCGAGTCTGCGCGGAACAAGGTTTGGAGAGCCTTCCAGTTTGCAATGTCATCGGGTCTTGTGGAGGGGTCCTGGCTGCGCTCTGCACAGAACTCGGCGAGGCTCTGACCGTCGAGTGCAGACTGGAGTTTCGTGGCGCGTTCGACGATGGAAGGCTCGGAGACGAGATGGCGGAGATGGACGGTGGGGGTGAAGGGCTTGGAAGAGGGGCCACCGGTGGAGACGAGCTGGCCGCCGAAGCCAAAGACGGCGGAGACGGGACGACGAAGCCACTTGGGCGGCTGCTTGAGCGAGAGGCCCTTGGAAGGCGCGTCGGCGGTGGTGGCCTGGTTGAAAAAGTCGGAGCCGTCGGAGAGCTGGGGTGCGGCAGCTGCAGCTGCGGCGTCGGTGTCGGGGGCGTTGGTGCTCTGAAGCGAGTGTACGCCAATCTTTCCGTCGAAGCTAGCGGTTGCGAGCATGGCGGGGTTGCGAGGCGACCACTGCACCTCGAAGGACCAGTTTGAGCTGGAGGGGAGCTCGCCGACGATCTCGCACGTCTGCGGGTTCCAGCAGATGGAGCGGTTGTCCTTGCCGCACGAGAGGAGGAGGTCGGCGTCCTGCTTGCACCAGGAGAGGGAGAGGACGCCCTTGTCGTGACCGGTCATGATCTTTTCGGGGGCGCGCGAGTTTCTGAGATCCCAGAGCATGATGACGGGGCTGGAGTCGTCTTCGCTGGCGGTGACGAGGCGGGTGGGTGTGTCGGGATGCCAGGCGACGGCGCTCATGCCGCGACGGCCACCGGCAGCCAGGGCGCCGCCGGCGTTGAAGCCGGAGCCGAGTGCGCCGCCTGCGGTGCCTGCGCCGCCGCCGTACTGGAGAGCGACGACTTCGCGCTTTCCCTTGAGGTCCCATACGACGGTGTATCCGGAGCTGGAGGAGGTTGCGAGAACGTGGGGCACCTGGCAGTTCCAGGCGAGCGAGGTGATTTCGTCGAGTTTCTGGGAGCGAGCGCCGGGAGAATAGGGTTTTGCGGGCGAGTTGAGATCCCAGATGAAGATTTCGCCGGCGACGGCGCCGCTGGAGAGGAGGTTTGGCTGGAGCGGGTTGAAGTCGAGGCCGCGGACGGGACCGGTGTGTGTGGTGTTTTTGATGAGCTGTGCGTCTGCCTCGGAAGCGCCGGCGATGACCTTTTGTGCGTCCCAGATGCCGAGCTCGCCGTTCTCGAGACCGGCAGCAAGAAGGCCCTTGGGACGGGTTGAGTTGGCGTAGCCCCAAGCGAGGCGATTGAAGCGAGCGCTTGTTGAGATGGAAGCGATCGGCTTTGCGTCTGCCGAGGCGGTGGAAGCGGAGTCGTGGGAGGAGGCGGCGTAGTCGGGCTGCCAGAGCTCGAGGAGGCTCTCGTTGCTGAAGGACTCATCGAGTGCGCCTGCGACGGTACCGGTTGCGATCAGGGGGGCATCGGACTCGTAGGTGGCAGGCGACCACGCAAAGGTGGCGGTGCGGTTGATGTAGGCCTTCATGATGACGAAGGGTGATGTTTAGGCCGTGAGAGGCCGGGCCTTGCAGGAACGCCGCAGTGAAGGAAGGAAAAGGGAGACGACAAGAAAGAAAGATAGCGAAAGAGAGAGAAAGGAAGAAAGACGGATGGTAGAGCGTGGAGAGTGGGGAGGAAAGCGAAGAACGGACTGCTCGCTGGTCGGGGCGGAGGCCAGGGCGGAGGGAGGCCCAGGTGGAATCCGACGAGTCCAACCCGACGAGTCGAACCCGCCACGTCGTGTTTCCGCACCGACAGCACAGCACTGCACTGCACTCAACTGCACTCCTCTCCCGGCCGGCGCGTGCGAAACAGAGGTGGTCGGTGCGAGGCGAGGCGAGTCGGCGCGGCGAGTCGGCGGCCAGCTCATCGTACCTCTGCCGCCCCGCCCCCCC